ACAAAAAGTGAAACCGCAAATTTGCATGTATCTTCACATGGACCCAACAAATTTTCATGTCAAATGTGGTGAAGATCCATCCACAGGGGGTGAGGTAGTGGTAAAAATGCTCATAAAAACCGTAAAATGCAAAACTGAAAATTTATGTGACTTCCCTTAGATCCAACAAACCTTCATGCTAAATTTGGTTAAGATCCATCTAAAGGGGGCGAAGTAGTGGTAAAAAATGCAAAAACGCCCATAAAAATCGCAAAACATAAAATGCAAAACTGAACATTTGTATGTACCCCCGCGTGGACCTAATAAACCTCCATGCCAATGTTGGTGAAGATCCATCAACATCTTGCCAAGTAGTTACATGGACATACAACATACAGTACTAGTATGTTTAAATATATTTATTCATTCAAATTGGGTGTTTTAAAGAACCATCAGCAAACATATTATTAAGCATTTATTTAATAGAACATTTGCTTATTGATAAAAAGAACTCATTAAACGCGGATATTTTTCTTGCAATAAACGAATAATTAGGAACTAAAGACCGACTAATTCAAAATTACCAGACTGGTCTTCTGTGGTGTCAGCTTCTATTATCTGGCTGTCAAACCACATGTGAGCTACTGTCATTCGGTTCTGAGTCAGAGTACCAGTTTTGTCCGAACAAATAGTGGATGTAGAACCCAGTGTTTCGACAGCTTCCAAATTCTTTACCAGACAGTTTTTCGCCGCCATTCTTTTGGCAGTTAGGGTTAAGCATACCTAAAGAAAAGTAGGAAATACTTTTTAAAACTACACTAAATATAGAGGATATGTCTCTAATATCTTACATATGCGAACATATGTCAGACGTAGTATTATCATTGCAGCATGTTTTATTAATAAAACGACATTTTCCTTGTGGTTGTATTATCATTGATACATGATTGTGCTAGTATTTTATCTTTGAAACCTGGTTGTATTAGTGGTATTGTCTTTGTTGTATGCTTGTACTAGTTACATTATCTTTGAAACATGGTTGTGTTAGTAGTTTTATCTTTGAAACCTGGTTGTATTAGTGGTATTGTCTTTGTTGTATGCTTGTACCAGTTAAATTATCTTTGAAACATGGTTGTGTTAGTAGTTTTATCTTTGAAACCTGGTTGTATTAGTAGTATTGTCTTTCAGGCGTTGTCGTATTGGAGGTATTAGTTTTCACGTAAGGTTGTGTATGGGTATTATATGGTAGATAGTTGGAATTATAAAATAATAAAGCTTTTATGCACTCTTAATAGTTCACGACCTTCGATTGGTTTACAAGGAATATCTTACATCTGTTCGTTTCTTCCCATTTTCTGAACACATAATCTCCCAAAATATCGATACAACCTAATCGATTAAAGTTGTTTACAAACCAAAGCATTCTTTTTTTTTGATATCTTGTCGAGTTAAATAAGCTTTCTACAAATATGTTACTATTTTATTTCTCGTAAGCTGAAAAAAACAACCCAATGGAATGAAGTTATAAAAATCAAAAAGAAAACTGACAAAAAAGATACAAACGTAATTTTTCAGAAAAAAACAATTTCTTTCACGTATTGCTGTAGTATAAGTTGCTCATAACATAGAACCAAAAATCACTCGCAGTTACAGTGATCATTTGGTTACTGTTTATATAAAGCTACATACTGTGACGGTGACAGTTGTTTACTGTTTATGTAGAATAATAAAACTACGTATAACTAGTTACCATGGATCGTTGGTATGTAGCTTTATTGCTATACATAAACAGTAAATGTGACAATACCGGTGGTTACTGTGTATACAGAACAATAAAACTACGTATAACTAGTTACCATGGATCGTTGCTTACTGTTTATGTATATCAATAAAGTTACGTACTGTGACAATGCCAGGTGGTTACTGTTTACAACTACGTATAACTGGTACCATGGCTAGTTGATTACTGGCTGTTTAGAACAATAAAATCACGTACAGTTTCAGAGATTAATAAATTACTATATGTAAAACAATATAATCAAGTTACATTGACTAGTTGGTTATTGTTTTTGAAACAAAAATCGAATTACGTACAGTTACAGTGGCTAGAAGACCCTCTGGAACATTAGCCACAATGATACCGATCAAAAAGATGACAGCATCTAGCCAGTGGTAACCCAAGATGAAAGCGACAAAGAAAAAAGAGATCCCCAGGAAGACAGCTACTCCGGTGATGATGTGGATGAAGTGGGCGATTTCTCGGGCTATGGGTGTGTCTCCCATTTCCAACCCAGAAGCCAGGTTAGCAATACGACCCATCACTGTGCGGTCACCGGTGTTGATAACTATCCCCGTTCCAGTGCCTGAAAGTTGACCACGAAAATAAGCCAGTGAGCCAGGAAGGAAGGAAATAAAAAGTATGGTCTGATAATATATAATTGAAACAGCAGTAATGTAAAATAACACGAAAATAAGCCAGTGAGCCAGGAAGGAAAGAAATAAAAAAATATGGTCTGATAATATATAATTGAAACAGCAGTAATGTAAAATAACACGAAAATAAGCCAGTGAGCCAGGAAGGAAGGAAATAAAAAAATATGGTCTGATAATATATAATTGAAACAGCAGTAATGTAAAATAACACGAAAATAAGCCAGTGAGCCAGGATGGAAGGAAATAAAAAAATAATGATCTGATAATATATAATTGAAACACCAGTCGTGTTTATTTTACACAGTAAAAATCTTTTTACTTGAGACTGATTTACAGTCTTAAATCTACTCTCATGTTCTAACGCTTCAACACGCCATCCTGAGGTGCTTTAATGTAATTTAATTTATACTCGTACACAAGTGTTCAACTAGAATTTTATGGTCTACTACAGTTTAATTAGAAATCAGCTGAACTTAGACGTAACACGTTTCTCATCTCCTGTTTACGGCTGGTTAATTACGTTGAGTCAGAACGTTACCAATAAATATAGATTAACAGAAAGGTGTTGTAATTATAAAAAAGGTTCAAGTTGAAACATCAAAGTATTGACATTAATACTTAACTAATTTATTTGGCCACTAGGTTTAACATGCTTGTTAATTTTAATCTGAAGATTTGAACGAGTTGGACGAGTGTTCTGAGAGACGGACAGTGTTTCATTGGAAATACTGTTTAAACTTTTAGCAAATTCCACGAGATAAGCATTTTTTATATCAACTATAAAAACGATTGTATTTTGAAAGTGAATCGACTTTTGTTACGACAAGTATAATAATTTATTTTATTTTATGAAGACAAGGGGGACAGATATATACGTAACCTAGCTAGCTATAGTCATATAGAAAGCTTTAATGCTACAAAAAGTATTGGAACGAGAAAGTCAAAACAACAAAAACCGAGTTAATTAAATTTAAAAAAACAACCTTATTCCCACTTTGGCAAATCACTGTAGTTATTTTAGTCCGAGCCAAAGTAGAGATAAATATTTTTAACTTTTAAGTAACTCAGTTTTGTATTTTTTTTTACTTTCTTGTTTTAATATTTTTTACAGAATTAAAACTTTCTATGTTACTATATAGCTACCTAGGTTAGGTATATATCGATCCCTACTTTCTTTATAAAGATTAAGTTTTTTATTTTTATATTTTTTACAGAATTAAAACTTTCTATGTTACTATATAGCTACCTAGGTTAGGTATATATCGATCCCTACTTTCTTTATAAAGATTAAGTTTTTTATTTTAATATTTTTTACAGAATTAAAACTTTCTATGTTACTATATAGCTACTTAGGTTAGGTATATATCGATCCCTACTTTCTTTATAAAGATTAAGTTTTTTATTATACTTGTTCATTTTCTTTTTATTAGCAATATTTTTGTGCGCCAGTAATACCAAGCGTGGGGCGCAGGTATACTAGATTCGATTTATTGCTCACCTCAACCAACATACCCTCAAATCTAATTATTGGCCCAAAGTAACGTATCGTCCGTTATATATATATATATATATACACTAATATCCTTTTCGGTAGATGAAAGGAATCACTGGGGTCCCAGAAGGAAGAGTTCTGTGAAAGAATTAGAGTGATAAGGCTCGTCATCTTTTCTTTACACTTGTCTGGAAAAGTCACTTACTTACTTACTTAGATGGAAATTCGTCGAAGTTGTAAAATGTTGATTCACTCCATAAACGTATATAGCGATTTAGGTGGATTTATAATAAGCTGTAGTTTTGCTCAGGCAATACTGTAAAATAGCCATTGTAAATATTCAGATATTTTAAAGATGATTTTAAATGGGTGATTTTTATGTCACCTATCAACCAAAATTACAGGTAATACCTTCCACACAGTTGGTTGAGAAAAATGCTATGTTCCTTGTTTCCAATGGATTGTCGTTGGTAAGTTCTGGTGACCTGGTCTGTGCTTCTGATTCTCCAGTCAAAGAAGAGTTGTCAACTTTAAAGCTGTGAGAAGCGATTACCCGGATGTCTGCTGGGATTCTATCACCGCTTTTCACCTCCACAATATCACCAACTACAACTTCTTCGGCCGGAATACTGAACTTTTGACCATCTCGAAGAACAGTTGCATACTAATATTAAGAATGGTACTATTAGGAAAAAAGTGGGTATTCACAGCAGCTGTTTGGTACATGAAAACAGAGGAATATGGCAGAAAGGAATAGTGTAAGTTGCTACAAATTTCTATGTCATCGCTAAACATTACATCAGTGACTTCCATACTTTACATTTTGTAAGTCTTTTTTTTTCTATAGTATTTGTATTGGTAACATTAAAATTTTTCTGTTATATTTTATATGAACTGTAACTCTTTCTAATTATTCATATTACAGTTTAACAATTTTGGTAATTTGTCTATAAATAACAAATGTAATTCATATGCTTTACTATCTATTTTACCAGAGATTTGGTCTTCTGCTATAATAAAAGCTTACTTGAGGAACCATATTTTTAAAGGATTCCATGATCTTGGAACTTCTTGCTTCTTGGTAATAGGAAAAGCACCCGGTGATGATTACCACTGCTGATAAGACAATTCCTAGATATAACTGGAGGATAAATAAAAAATAAATAAATAAAAATAAGCGCCACCTACCTCAACAGGTTTAGATCATTATTGTATTAACTCTTATTTGGAGTAAATGCAAAATGTTCAAAGTATTTTTCACGGGATACTGTCTTGAATAAAGGTATTAATAATGAAAAAAAAACAATAATTGAATAAAACTATCTTTCCATGAGTTAACTATAGATAAACGACACTGACGCTACTTTATTAGAGCCCCTCCCCCAATCATTTGAAGCCCTTTACTCCAATATACAGGTAGGTTGATCATGTGATGTGCTGAGTGATTATTTAAGCTCTATAAATGTAGTGATGTAGTCATGCCATGCTTAGCCTGCAAAATAATAAGTAAGCGCAATAATGTCTCCGACTATCAAAGGGGCATGACAATTGATCTCTCTAATAGGGGTGCCATTATTAAAGATTGTTTCGTTGACTGACTGTTCAAAAAACGTCTGCAATTAGAACGTGACAGTATTTTCAATACAAAGAATTTGTCTGTGATAAGTAAAAACTATGAAGCCAATATTTCAAAATGCATCAGATGTCACTGTGTTTCAGTTATCAATTTTTTGAAGCAATAATCAATATTCAACTATCTGTACCACGTGAAGGACACTTTAAGAAAGACATATGATAACAGTTGGCCAGTCTGAAAACATCTCATACACAAACATGAAATCATGGCCTCAAAAACAGTTTATCTCAGTTGTAAACAGTGGCGCATAGAACGAACAGCGTAAAGAATGAATGACCAAAATAACACGGTGTCATCTAATCCGTCACATTTTACCATTTTGTTTTTACAAATGGTAGAGTAATAATATGAGAAAATCAAATGCTACACAAGTGCAAGCTTGAGGTGGTGTAATGGCCAATGAACATTTTTACTGCAAGAGACAGACATTTGATTCCTCTAGGAGGGCGAATAACATTCAGAATGCGTCTGAATGTTGTCCACCCTTTAATGTTGTATCTATCTTTAGACAAACAAAGGCTCTTCCAATACAATAATAGCGCAACAACCTAACAGGCTTATATCATCCAAAATTGGTTCAAAAAGAGTGACAACAAGTTCAGCTATTTTCCATGGTACTCAGAACAGTCACTGGACCTCAATCTAATAGCGTATCTTTAGAATGAACTTTAGGACTGATTTCGTCACTGCAATTCGTTTATGATATGTTTAACCCAACTGCAAAGAGTGATACAACCAGATATTAGGTGAATGTCCTAATAAGTTGGCCAGTCAGTAGCATTCCTTTTAATGAACCTAGTATGTCCTTTGAAATGGGAAAAAAATGTTTAAAAAAACAACATTTTAATCGTAAATATATATTTGATTAAAATACAACCTTCTTCATAGGTGGGAGGAGGGGGGGGTGCTAGCCAGTCTTCCTAGTTTTGAAAACAAATTCTAAGAAATATATGGTACAGTCATCCTGATATTTTAAAGAAAACTGCTTGTCAGCGAAGTATATCAT